CCACACTGCTGCCACAGTGACTGCATCATTCTGCATTCCCACTAGCAGCGTGTGAGAGTTCTAACCTTTCCACCCTTCGCAGCATTATCCACGAAGAGATGGATACAACTCATCCGCCCATGTCACAAATGGCAAATATGTCCATCTAACAGATTACAGATCTAACCTACAGATGGCGAAAGAAACTATGTTGCATTCACTTAAGGAAGTATTATTGGCACTAAAGAATGATTGGCTTATTTGGTAAGAAGCTTCCCTCCAATCCCAAATGCATATGGTTCAAATCCACAAGCTGCTCCATGGGAGAAGGAGGTGCAGTTGCCTACTGCCTCTGAAAACTCACTGGAGGGTCAAGTCTGGGTCAGTTCCAATTTTACAGCCCACAACAACAAAAGAAAAAATAATCAAGATTTCATGAAACACCAGCCAACATAAATGAATCTAGAGATTATACTTGGTGATATAATTCAGTCATACAAAGACTATTAAGCTTGATAGTTACTATTACAAAAGCTATGGAAAGGTTTGCACACAGAATAATTTTTTGGCAGTTACCATGGATTGAAAGGGAGACAAGGGAAGTAAAATGTAATAAGTTGGGGAAAGTGAAAAGCAATATATATATATATATACACACACACACACACACAATATAGCAATAAGGGGTTGATCAAGCACCGTAACTGTATTAATCAATTGTAATTAATGTTACAAAAATGTTGAAAAATGTTTTCGAACAAAAAGGAGCTCTGATGGCTTAGTGGCAGGCAGCTGCAATGCAATCCCAAAGGCACGTGGTTCGAGACCACCAGCTGCTGTGTGGGAAAAGGGTGGGCAATCTCCTCCCGTGTGATTAACTACCTCTGTAAACCTGCTGGAGGGTCAGTTATGAGTCAGTTCTCACTTTTCAGTACACAACAACAATTAATGGTCTGAATGTGTGGATGAATAAATGAAGTCAGTATGTTTAATGAAGAGATGATAAAATGAATGAATTGGACCATCTAAAAAGTACATACTTGTGTCCATAAAAATGTTCTCAAAAAGGGTAAAAGTCCTACTAGGAAAAATATTTGACAATGACACATCTGATAAGGGACTCATATTTAAAATTTACATAAACTCCCCAGCACCTCAATAATAAAAAGACAACCTAATTACAAAATGGACAGAAGATATGAAAAGACCCTTCACTAAAGAAGACATTCAGGTGGCCAACAAACACATGAATAAATGCTCAAAATTTAAAAAAATGAAGTCAGTATGATTTGTAAATTTTCATCCAAGTAAATAAATTAGAATCGAAAAGGAGGGATGGGTACCTGGTAAACTCATTAGTTTGCTGTCCTCAGGGATGGCACGTCATCAGCATTTGAAATGCTTCTATTCAAGGACCTGAGGGTTCTTCCTTTAAACATGCAGTGAGAAGAGTAGTCAATTCATGCTGTAGTTGATACCTTGGTGGTTCCTGATGTGATAGTGTAACTTGTGGTATTCTACAGTTAGATGCTAACTCATCACTTTTGATGTTCAAACTTTTGTTAGTAATTTTTTTCTCTAATTGTTTTAATTTTTCAAGTATGCAGACAAGCTGCAAATTCAGCAGAAATCTTGTCAACCAAAGACGATTTCTGTTATTTTTTAATTACAGACGAGGGACACAGAATTCCCAACTCATCTACTCTTGTTTTAGGAGTGTGGAAAGACACATTTAGCCCAATAATAGAAGACAGTTAAGGGACCAAAGGAAGTGAAGACACATGAGGTCTTGGTCCTCAAGTATACAGAAAGTGTCTGATAAAACATACCAGAGTCCCTTCCTATTAAGAGGGGGGAAATGAGCACAGTACTCCAAAAAATAACAAAAAATCCTGTCTTAAATTTTAGAGTGTCTGTATTTACTGAAATATAAAAACCTAAACTTATGGGTTTTGCCTCTGAATGAGACAGAATAGTATAAAATAAATCAGAATAATTGGAGAAATCTCTTGCAGTAAAAATAAAATGGCTAGGTTTTTAAAAAAAACATGCTTATTTGCAGGCGATTTTATATATATATATGTGTGTGTGTGTATACATATGTGTATATTATATATACATATATGTGTGTATATGTAAATTATATATATATATATATATATGAATTTGTTGTGAATATATGCCTTTTCGTGTATTATAGCTCATAGCTCATAGTTACCTTAGGGAAATCAGGTAGAAATCTTGTTCCATCCTGTGCCATCCTTACCATCTCTGTTGTGCTCCAGTCCACTGTGTCAACTCATCTCGTCCAGAGTCTGCATCTCTTTTATAGACACTTTACCAAGCATATTTGTTCCCCTAAGGAGAGAAGGTGTCTCCTAACAGCATTCCCACGTCCATGCCTGTCTCACCACCCTACGGTTTGCGTATGCTGATGAGACTGTCTCATTATCCTACAGTGTGCCCGTGCTGTGCTTGTACAAACAGTGGCTGTTATGATGGTGCTTTTTCTGTAGCTGTTCTGACGTGGCACATTATTCCTAATTGCTTTTTTACTAACTTTGGTAACACAAGTCCTCAAACATAAGTGCAGGTACACATTAGAGACAGTGTGGACATGGTTCTGGTGTTGTTAGGTGCTGCCATGTCGACCCGTAGTGACTCTACGAACAACAGAACCAAACCCTGTCTGATCTTCTCCCATCCTCATCACCCCTGCTACACTTCAGCCCACTGCTACAGTCACCACGCCCGGCCATCTTGCTGGTGGTCTTCCTCTCTTTCACTGACCGTCCACCTTTCCACGTTTGACTTCTCTTTCCATGGAGTAGCTTCTCCGAGCACTGTGTCCAACGTATGAGAAAAGAAGCTTCCCCATTCTTGCTTTAAGGAGCCCTCTGGCTGCACTTTTTTCTAAAACCTACTAGGAGCACACACTCTTGATGAATTGCCACAAACCTTATTTTGTGAAAACAGCAACGTCTCTGAAACACAAAAAAGTAAAGTATGCCTATTGTTGCTGGTTCTTGGGATTTTTAAAGCAAAGCCCTTATTCAATGCTTTGACCCTCCGCTATATAAAGCACTTTCCTGTCATGGGCAACAGTCCATTTGGTGTCTTCTTGGAGGTAAAGGTCCGTCCTCCAGGTCAGGGCCACCATCCAGGTCAGTTTTACTACATGCTAGGTGGAGCCTCAGCAGGGTGTCTTTCTGTGGAGTCCCGTCTTTGTAACCAGGTCCACCTGACACCCTCCACGTCAGACACACCTCCTGTCTGCTCCTCTGAGGCCATTCATTCAAATATTTCCCAAGGACATTTGTTTGTCTTGGTTTATTCTGTATAAAATACAAGAGGGCCAAATCAGCGTGATTTACCTCTCCTGGACTCCTGAGAAGGGCCCTGTGGAGGCAGAGCAGTAAAGAGCTGTGCTGCCAGCCCGTAGCTGGTTCGAAGCCAAGCTGGTTCTAATCCATCAGCTGTTCCCGGGAGAAACAGGAGCACTCTCCTCGTGAGCAGTTACACTGCCTCTGAAAACCCACCGGAGGCCACCTCTGAGTCAGTGGGGCTCGGAGACACCCGGCTACCACAGCTCCCCAAAACATCAGTCATTAACAGAACGCCTGTAAATATGTGCTTGTACATCTCACAGTTGTGAATAAATACGAGTTCTTTGTGGAACGAACTCTCATTGTTAGTAAGAAAATCGTCCCAGCCATTTTGTTGATTCTCAAAGTTCAGTATGAGAAAAGTGTAGGTGTTAGAACAGAAATAAAAAAAAAAAAGATAAAGAAACAAGCAAGCTGAGCTGCTGTAGAAGTCAACACAATCACCCCTGAATCGTGGGACTGTATGGTAATTGACCATCTAGTACTTCAAAGAAACTCACAAATTCATTGCCTGGGGGTTAGAATAGACTCCTAGCTGGCCCTCCAGTGGTTGGGCAGTGGGGAGAGATTGCTAGTCTTTTTCCTGGGGGACTGGAGTGTGTGTGGGGGCTTCCTGCAGCCAGATTCATGCTCCCATTGGGTTTGTGGCTCGACTCCCTGTGGACTACAGGACTCCCCAACTCCTGCATATAGTGAAGAAAAAAGATGTTAGAAATAAGGTATTACCGGTAGGTTCCATCCCGCTGCATCTGACTCATAGGTGTGAAGAAAACAGAAGACACACAGCCCCGTCGTGAGCCCCTTCACAGTCTCCCCTCGGCTTGTGCACGTCATGCAGTAACCGTGCTGAACCGTCTCACGGCGGGTCTTATCTTCTGCTCATTTTCTACTTTTCCAGATTTTTAAAAATCACTGCAGTTTGAGATTGCACACACACATACACACACACACACACACACGCACACATTCGTGCTTGTGCAAGGGAGTATGCACGCACACATGCATATTGAATCTCTGCTTATTGTAATAAAAGCAGGATGAATACACTTTTCTGACTTTACCTCAAACTTGTCTTACAGGCTTTGTCAATGTTGTCAAGAAGGACGAGCTCTCTGGGGTAAAAAGGTCATCAAGCTCAGAAAGGTAGGAGGTCAGTGAAAAAGGAAGATTCTCAACAAGATGGACAGACACAGTGACAACAATGGGCACGAGGGTGGCATTGAACAATAACAGCATCCCCAGATGTATGTCAGAAAAATGCTCAGAAGATGTTAATCTAGCTGACAATAAAAGTAGATAATGAAACACCTAGTCCCAACATCAAACAAAACCAAAGCTACTGCCTTGAAGTCAATTCCGACACACAGCGACCCTGCGCATGGAGTAGAACTAACAACCTGCAGGCCTTCCATGAGGCAAATGTTTCTGACATCAGACTACCTCGCCTCTCTCCCATGGAGCTGCTGGTGGGTCCCAGCGGCCAACTTTTGTTTAGCAGCCTGATTTTGTAATCCGTTCCTCCTCTAGGGCTCCTCTGGTCCCACTGCTACCAGAGAATTGTGAACAGGCTGGCAAAAAAGGGCTTAAATCCCAACTCAAATTTTGTTCTGTTTTTAATGTTCACCGGGTCAGGCCTCATGTTGTCTGAGCCTCGCTGAGGGAAATAGCTTCTGAGAGGAGAGCAGCAGGGGCAGCTCGCAAAGACATGCGCTTCCTCAGTAAAAGCAGTCCAGAGGCAGGGTTCTGCAAAACGGGCACTTTAGCAAAGTGGAAAACTCAGCAGAAGGATAGAATTGTTTCATTTCACACGGAAAATGGTATACGGCCTTTCTATCCATTTGGTCAAAATTGAAGTTCTGGGTTTGATGAGACACTGAGGGGTGAAATTAACTTTGGCCACCTGCTGGGTAAGAGTCCTGAGAGAGAAAATGCCTCTGCGGGGCCACATGCTCTGCCCAGATGATGAACATGTTTGCTCCAATCCAGCACATGGATGTGGGTCTCCAGTGCCCTTTGCAGGAAGTAAAGTGTATCAACCGCTGACACTGACCATCAGCTGCAATGAATTAAAATACATTTGATTGAACCACGTTTAAGTCATTGTGCACAAATTCCTACCCTTGGAGCAGACATGTCGGCACCATGAACTGGACACACACACATCTCTGTCCTCCCTCGACGTCAGGGCCTCAGCCATTGCTCAGCGGCAACACTTTCTCCACAACTTCTTTAACTTTCAGCTTTAAGTACTAGGATTGACGATTTCAACTACTGGCAGAAGGCAAAAGCCTTACAACAATCTTATTAAACAGAGAATCCTCTTCTCCAAAGTCATCCTCCTAGAAAAGTACTAGTTTTATTCATAACATTAAAAAAATTCTATATGAGCACCCGTTGGTGCCTTCAACCATGAACTTGAGCCCTGTAGGAACTGTGGGGATGGCTCAGAATGGACAGTGCTTCGTTCCCCTATACACAGATAAGGGTGCTGTGGGAGCTGGCTCAGTGGATTCTGTCAGCAAGAGCACACATTCGTCCGTCTGTCCATCCCACTGCTACAGGAGAGGACATTATCCTGTTTTAGTCACAGAGTCACCAATCATTATCGTCATCTGCCTTGTCATTTCCAACACTAGCCCTCTACTCGTCAATGTTAGATTCAATTCCAACTAAAAGTATATACACATATATCCCTGCTATTTTTCTCTTTCACATTTCTTTTTAAAAATCACAATCATATTACTTAAAATAGTAAGTCTATAGTAGTAGCTTCCATTTCTTCATCTTCCTTTTAACTCTGCTCTTATCCAGTCTAGCTTCTCTCTCCTGTTGTTTCCCTGCAAAGCCCTGCCCACAGCCGCATCCACTCCTCAGCTGGAAATGCAGTGGATGGGGCCCAGGCTTCATTTCACTTCTCAGAAGCACATGCTCCATTTCATTCTCCTCGTGTAAGAGTCTTTCAAAAATCTTTATGTCCTTACCCTTGTACTTTTTTTTTTATCATCTTCTTCAGTCTCTTCTTTCAACTACATTTATACCTCCTTGGAGGAACACAAATGGAGCAGTGAATTAAGCATTGGACTTTGAAAGGTTGGCAATTTGTCTCAGCAAAGGAAGAAGATGAAGTAAACTTCTCTCATGTAGATGATTAACATTGGAAACACTAAGGGACAGATCCATTCTGTCCTGGGAACAGAAATCAAGCTAATGGCAGGGCGTTGTTTTGATGTGGGCTTTTTAAAAAACAAAACAAAACAAAACAATTCTATTGATGCCTTTGAGTTGTGGAGCTTGAGAAGAGTATTGAATATAGCATGGGCTGCTAGTAGAACAAACAGGTTTGTCCTGGAGAATTCTGAAGCTCTGTCTGACATACTTGGGGCATGTGGTAAGGAGGGACTAGTCATTATGTTTGGGAGGGTGGAGGGACAGTGCAAGATGGGAAGAACCTTGATGAGATGGATTGATTCAGTGACTGTGGTAATGGGGGTAGGTGTGTCAGAGACAATAAGGTTAGCACAGGATAGAGCAGGGTCAGAGCTGTTGTACATAGGACCGCTATGAGTTGCAGGTGACTTGATGGCACATAACAACAACATTGTCTCTACTAATAATCAAGTAAAATGTCTAGGCTTTGCAGCCAAGTTTCTTTTATTGTTTTTATTCTTCTCTGTCTACTTCTGGGCTTTGTGTTTTTTATCAGATCAATGCTGACCAAGATTCTGAAATTCTCCTTACTAAGACAGAGATACTAGATGGAGAAAAGATTGAAGTTACTAATGATTTCATCTAATTCAGATTCATACTCAACACTGTTGGCACAAGCAGTCAGGAAATAAAATGAACTGCATTGGGAAAATCTGTTGTCAAAGACCTCTCTCAAAAAAACAAAAAACTAGCAATAGTGTTTGTCTAGAGACTAAGGTGCACCTGATCCAGGCCATGGTCTTCTCAATTACATGCTATACATCTGAGATCTGGACAATGAATAAGACAACAAAAGATTTGATGCCTTTGAATTTCATGGCTGGAAATGAGTATAAAACATACCATAGACTGCTAAGAGTACAGATCTATCCTGGAGAGGGTTAAATCAGGGTGTTCCTTGCAGGCAAGTCTCCGTCTGACATACTTTGGGCATGTTACCAAGAGGAGCCAGTCCTTGGAGAAGGTCATCATGCTCGGAAGGGTAGAGGGTCAGAAGGGAAGACACTGGATGTGATAGAAGGGATGACACAGTGACTGTGGCAACGTGGACATGTCAGAGACAATGAGATTGGCTCAGGATAGGGCCAGGTTCAGAGCTATGGTTCATAAGGTCATTATGAGTAATCGTCGACTGGATGCACATAAAAACAACAACAACAACAAAAAAAACCACACAGCATCATCATTCCCTAATCCTCATAATCTAATTTAATGACTTCCATGCTTTAAGCTTTAGCGGACACCAGGTTTTAGGATATGCATATTAATGTCAATACCTCACTTAGCCCCTAAGATCACTCCAGAAGCAGGTTTTCTACCTGTCACCAATTATCAGTACAAAAAAATGAGCTTTAGATGAAAGACATGCACAAACCACACCTTAGCAAGCAGAGGAGTCAAATGCAAGCGAGTGACAAAAACGGAGTGATTTTCTATTACCTCATTGTCCACTAAATTGTTTGTATTGTTGTTGTTAGGTACCATCAAGCTATGACTCATAGTGACCCTATGAAGAACAGATCAGAGTCTTGCCCTATCTTATACAGTCCTCAAAATCTACGCCATGTTCAAGCTCGTTGTGACAGTGACTGTCAATTCACCTTGTTGAGGGTCTTCCTTTGACTCTCTACCTGCCCCAGTGTGATGTCTTTTTCCAAGAACTAACCTTCCAGACAACATGCCAAGACGAGATGCAGTTTCACCGTCCTTGCCTCTAAGGGCCACTTCACATCTACCAAGCAGGTGCTTGGCGGGCCCCAAACTGAATATATCTGGCAGTGGTTTGATAAACTGCTCCACACGCCTCTAAACTGTTTCTACAGGAAAAAAAAATATATTCCACTTTATGTCCACAATATCATCAACCTCTGTAAAAGGCATCGCTTCTCTCACACAAGCAATTCCCCTCTCTCTCCTCTGACAAAGTTCTGATCATTTAATTATCTTTCACTATGTAAAACTCCATTTTTCAAGTAGGTTAATCACATCAGGAGTTTATTTTCTCTTTGAACACTACCATATCTCAATTGATGCTTTGATATGGTGGAAATAATGTGAACCACTTCACTGCAGGATAGTAAATAAGACCAATAAGTCTGTCCTATTTGACTTCCTGGGCACTCCGTCCTGAGAGGGTCAATCAGTTTGAGAAGTCTTTGATTGTAGACGGTTCTATGGGGCTGGGCCAGAGATAGATGCCAGCCACATGCAGAAGCAGGAGCTTTGAGGAAATGCAAAAATCATTCCCTATAGATTAGTGAGCAAAGCCAGGCCCACACCTTGCTTAGTGGGAAATTTGCCACTTCTGCTTCCCTCTCACCTCAGATCTGAGTGTGTAAAACAGATAAGACACAAGAAAGCAGTATCTTTCTTTCATAGATCAGTTGACACAGGAGAGCTTGGATTCTTATCAAACTTTTGAAATCTAGTCAATATAGGGAGATATTTTTTCCTTTATGTATGTATGTATATATATATATATTTCCATGTGTATGTGTGTATATGTATTTTTTCTTTACATATCTATTTTTTCTTTCCATATATATGTATGTATGTATATATAAATACATATATATATTTTTTCTTTCCACGTATATATATTTTTTCTTTCCATATATATTTTTTCTTTCCATATATATTTTTTCTTTCCATGTATATATATTTTTTCTTTCCATGTATATCATTTTTCTTTCCATATTTTCTTTATATATATTTTTTTTCTTTCCATACAGATATTTGCTTTCCATATAAATTTTTTTCATATATATATATTCTTTCCATATATGTGTGTGTGTGTGTGTGTACACACACATGACCTGCCTAACCTAGCTTTCAGTATCAGTTAGATAATGAAGTATTATTCACTATATGATGTGATGCAACCAGCAATGGGAAGGAATGACTTATTACTTGTGAACTATAAGGAATGCTGTATCATTGAATATTTCTCTCCAAATAAGCTACAAATGCTAAAACTATAACATAAATTAGGAGATACTTCTCCCAATCTAGATATTTTTTTAAAAAAAAACAATCCACACAAATCCCCAGTTACAAAGACCCATCGGGGAGCTGAGCTCTGCTTTCACTCCCAGTATCTCACGTGCAAAGCACCCTGATAGCTCAAATACAACTACCAGGAAACCTACCACTGATTAACACGATTAGAGAGTTGTTGTTGTTGTTGTTATGTGCCATCGAGTTGCTTGCGACTCATAGTGACTCTACATACAAGAGCCCTAAATCCTGCCCTGTCCTGTGCCAACCTTCCCATGTGAGACACACTTACTCCCATCGCTGAATTGATGCATCTCATCAAGGGGCTTCCTCTCCTGCGCTGTCCCTCCACTCTCTCAAACATGATGTCCCTCTCCAAGGACCAGTCCCTCCTTGCAACATGCCCAAAGTATGTCAGATGAAGCTTCAGAATCCTTGCCTTCAAGGTGCAGTCTGGCTTCAGTCTCTCCAGGATGAACCTGTTTGTTCTCCTAGCAGTCCATGGTATATTCAACACTCTTCTCCAGCACCGCAGCTCA